ATTTCAGAGGAGGCTGAAGAAAAGGCGATTATTCACTACGGGGGTGGGGGTTTGGGGGTGAGGGACGAACAGAAAGCAGGGTCAGGTCATACATTTAGTCGGACTGAAAGTCTACACACTGCTTTCCCTGGGCTGAAATAGAAAGTCGGTTGGCATCCTATCGCAAAACGAACACTGTATCTCTAGTTGGTGTGGGCTAACATGTGGCCACACATTTGGAGGTAAATTTATCTTATTTTTAGACTTTGCATATGAAACCTTATCCAGTAGTTTTGGTGCCATTCCAAAAGGAGGAAGAATACTGAAAAACGTCTGTGGAGGAAACATTGTGGGGGCAAACTATCAGCTCAGTGGTCTTAGTACTCACAAGTCCAAGATCACAAGCATCAGTAACAGGAGGAAAAAAACCCTGGCAGCTGCCTAGAGACTATGGAAAAACTATTAACACTGACTCACAAAAGTGTCACTTGATAATCTAAGATTCAATTGCCAATGCATTTTTTTTACATTTATTGCATAAGTTTTACATCATTGTATATGTGTGCATATGATCTACAGCATGTATGTGGGAGTCAGAGGACAATTTGTGAGCATCATTCTCTCCTACCATGTAGGTCCTGGGGATCAAATCTGGCAAGCCTGGGTCATCAGGCGTGGCAGCAAGTGCCTTTACCTGCTGACCCATCTTGCTGAACCAAATGAGTATTTTCTGAGACCACAGTCTCCTAGACAACTAGCACTGGCTACTTCTTAACTGTGGCTTCTTCTGTGTGATTCCACCTTTGAGGGGCACCCTAGGGTTCAGTCCACGGAACCTTTGTCCATTACACTTACTATGGGGTTAGTGACATCCATTCCACTGACTTTACATATCATCTATACACAGACGATTTCCAAACTTTCATTTTCAGCCTTGATTTTTCTGCCGAGCTTCAGACTCATCTGTCACACTACCGACTGGCATTACATCATCTCGGATGCAGCACACAGAAGACTGAACTCTCTTTACAACACTCCTGCTCTAATATATAGTAACTGCACCCAGACAGCTGCTTTGGGGGAAAACCTGCCGTCAACAGCCTCTTAATAAATAGTGTTCAGAAAAGTGGCTGTTCACACGTACAAGAATGAAGCTGTATCCTCCCCGTATCTCACCCTGCATGAAAACTGATTCAAAATGTACCAGTGGTTTTAACCTAAGACCTGGCACTCTGAAACTGTTAGACTAAACCACAGGGAAAGCTCTTCAAGATACAGGCATAGGCAAGGACTTCTGAAAAGGACTCTTTATAGTTAAGGAAGGAAGAGCAAGAATTGATATACATGATTCCATGAAATTAAAACCTCCCGGAGCCCAACAAAGGAAACGGTGAAGAAAGCCTATAGAATGAGAGAAATCTTTGCCAAGTATCCATTTGACGGGGGATTAATATCTAGAACATGTAAAGAACTAAAAATTCAAATATGCAGAAATATTAATCATCCAAAAACTTCATAAAGAAGTGTTCATCATCCACAAAATCAGAAAAAGGCAAATTTAAAAGTACATTGAAACCCTCTCTCACCCTGTCAGAATGGCCAGCATGGAGAAAACTAACAATTGGTGGGGGTGTGCTCACACACTTGGGGGGAGAATGTAAACTGCGGAATCACTAATAGAAGTCAGTACGGAAGTTCTTCAAACATCTGCAAACGACTACAATGTGATACAGCAATGTCATTCCTCACTACACACAGCCCCAGCACACCACGTGGATGCCTGCACGTCCATGTTTATTGCTGACTATTCACAAGAGCCAAGCTACAGAATCAGCTAGATGCTCATCAACAGGTGAGTAGATAAGAAAACATGGTACGTAAACACAATGGAGTTTCAGTCATTCACAAAGAACAAATAATGTCTCTGCAGGCTGGAACTGGGTATCAACGCGCTCAATGAGGTAACTCAGAACAGCAAATGTTGCCTGCTTTGTCTCATATGGGGAACATATAAGTCATATGTATATGGTACCTACCTGACATGCCTAGGATACCAAAACAGAAAGGGATCTGTTACAGGGAGGAGAGCAAGTAGCAGAAGCAATGAACGGAGGAGGTGGGAAAGAATGTGAGCAAACTACCAGACATGAATGTATGAAGATGTCACAATGAAACTCAGTATTTCATTTAAGAAAAGGGGAAAAGGACCCCCCCTTCTTTCTCCCACACTTGCTATCCAACCCACCAGACACGCCTTTCGCAGTGAACTTAGACTCGGAACACATCTCACGTTGCTGGTTTCCACCACTACCCCTGCTCTCCCAGATTGTTCGTATTTTACTTTTTTATTTTTATTTTATTTATTTTTAGCTAGAGTCTCTATGCAGTACTGGCTGTCCTGGAACTCACTATGTAGACCAGGCTGGCCTCAGACTCAGAGATCCACCTGGCTCTCGAGGGAGTCCCTGCAGGTATCAAACTGAGAAGCTAATCTCGAAGGGATGAGAATGAAAACGCGGTGCAGACTGGCAAAGACTTCGGGGAGTCTGATCTGATGCCAGGCGGTTCATCATCAGCAGATTTATCTCAAACACAGCACATTTTGGGAAAAGGTTTCCAGGCAACAATCAGTTCAATCAGCCCAATTCCAGGTGCACAGTAAAGCTTACGGTGTGACTTAGAAACTCCTTTACAAGGTACCTGTGACCGTGAGGGTGGTTTCTACAGCTAAAAGGCCTAGAGTCTAGTGTGATCTCTGACTGATAGCACACAGGTCAGCACACCATAAAGAACATGTGACATCACCCCTAAGGATGGGTAATGAACGGTCTAAGGGGGGAGAGTCTGGACTAACCATTCTGGGGAACTGGGTAAACTCCATCTCTATAGCAAAGGTGGGTGAGGTCTGCCTCCACAGACAGCAGAAACGTCACTAGGTCGTTAACAACCTCCAGTCTGCTCTCTGGATGGAATGTAGGTATTTGATTTTTATCTCCGTCACTGAGGAGACACCCCTGCGTGATTAACAATCCTGGTTCTCTTAGTGCTTCTCTGTGAGGACAAGGACCTCTGTGCCCCCAACACTGATTCCTAACTGCTAGGGTTAAGGGTGTGTGCTAGCAGCCTGGCTCTTTAAACATTTTAAATTACATTTATTTATTTACCATGTGGGGCACACATGTGAACACATGCAGGTCAGAGGACAACTTCCAGGAGTCATCTTTCTCTTCCTACTGTGTGGATTCTGGGGCTCAAACTCAAGCCATTGGATTTGGCAGCTAGCGTCTTTACCTGCCGAACATATCTCACCAACCCTTGTCCTCACCTTTCTAGTTTCTTCAGCAAATGTCAATTCTATGCATGTGTCCTCTGGTGGCTTTTATCATGTGCACAGCTAAAATCTAAGCCGGTGCTCTGCTTCCTACCGTGGGCTAACTCATCTCCTGTTAGGGGATATTTGACTATGTAAAGATGTGTTACATTTGTTTATGCTGTGGAATATTATTTTAACTGTGTAAAGGTGTGTTAATTTGTTTCTGCTGCCTTTGTAAATGATATAAAGATGTGTTACATTTGTTTATGCTGTGGGATATTATTTTAACTGTGTAAAGGTGTGTTAATTTGTTTCTGCTGCCTTTGTAAATGATAAAAAGATGTGTTACATTTGTTTATGCTGTGGAATATTATTTTAATTGTGTAAAGGTGTGTTACAATTGTTTCTGCTATCTTTGTTAATGATATAAAGATGTGTTACATTTGTGCTGCATTTTGCTTAATTAGGTGAAGATGTGTTACATGTGTTTCAGCTTGCCTGCCTAAGGCACCTAATAAAGAGCTGAACAGCTAATAGAAAGGACAGGCAGGGCTGGTGGGCAGAGAGAATAAGTAGGAGGAGAAATCTAGGTGAGAGAGACAGAGAGACACAGAGAGAGAGAAAGAGAGACAGACACACACACACACACACACACACACACACACACACACACACACACACACACACAGAGGTGTGTCACACCCAGGGTCAGAAACCAGGCAGCTGCCAGCCAGACAGACACGGAATAGAACATACAGAAAGAAAGAAGGAAAGGCAAAAAAGCCCCAAGGCAGAACAAAGATGATGAGAAACAGGACAATTTGTTATAAGAGCTAGCAAGAAATAAGAGCTAAGATAAGGCCAAGCATTCATAACTAATAAGCAGTCTCCGTGTCATGATTTGAGAGCTGGTTGGTGGCCCAAAAGAAAAAGCCTGCTACAGTCAGTCTCCCACTTCTTCCACATTGTCCACTCTTTCTAACTACACTGGCCTTGCCCTTCCTCAAATCCATCAAGCTGTTCCTGAATCCAGGCCTTTGCCTCTTGGATACAGATACCCATCATTCACGTCCCTCACTGTCTTCAGATACCAGCCTAGCTTCAACTGCGAGCAGGCATTCCTCTTCCTTGCTCTTTTTTTTTCCTTAAGAGCCCTTAGCACCATCTGACGTGTGTACGCATTTGCTAATATCTGTCTTCCCTCGTTACATATGCTATGGTGTGAAGATCTTGTTCTTTCCACTGTTCAGTAACTAAAGACTAGACCGGAACCCAGCACACAATATGTGTGTACTAAATATGAAGTGACTGGTTGGATTTGTTTGAAAAGTAGCTAGAAATGGCACACTAGCAGCAGAAGGGAAGGGTCCTGACAGGAAGGGTAGATTTCTAGATGTCATTTGATGCACAAAAGCCATACTCAAGTAAAGGGTGAAAGAATGTGATTCTGAGAAACCTTTTAAAATGTCATTGCCTTCCATCAGGTACCCACTGATGACCTCACCAGGCTCCACTAGACAGATTCAAGTCAAGTGACACACATGGTCCTGGTCAACCTGAACGAGTCACAGAACAAACCCCAAAGCTACCAATCATGCAGAGACTGGCAGGGATGGAGGGGAACTGACAGGGATAGGAGGGAAAGTAATCAGAATCTATTATATCTGTGTATGAAATTGTCAAATGACAAAATTAATCAAAAGAGTGTATTATAAAGGTATACCCTTTCAGACAGTTTTAAGCATACAGTTTAAGTAGTTAGACTACATTCAGATTGCAGTGTAACTTATCTTCAGGACTTTTTTATCTTGAAAAACTAAAATTCTATTCACAGCAATTCCCTACCCTTTCAGCCCCTAATACACACACACACACACACACACACACACACACACACACACACACACACACAGACTTTGAGCTTTCTTTTCCATGATTTTGACTCAGGTAAGCAAAAACATACACCATTTGTAACTGGTTGATTGCAATTGCAACATAACATCAAGGTCATCCCTGTTGAGCATGTGATGTGGTTTCTTTATTTCTAAAGGCCAATCTTGTATTATAGGTAGAGCAATATTTTCTTTATTCTGCCATCTGTCAATGGAAATGACCCATTTCCATCTCTTGCCTATTGTACATAATACTGAAATGAACAGAACTGTGCTAATACTTCTTCAAGGCCCAACTTTTGATTCCTTTGGCTATATGCTTGGAAGCAGGATTTTTGGCTGATAGGATGCTTCTATTATTTGAGGGACTTACAGAGTATATTCAGTAACATTTGTACTATTTTGCTAATGTTGTATGTGGGATCTAGTTCCTCCATATCCTTACTGATCCCATTTTCTGCTTTTGTGGATAGTGGGGGTCTTAATGTATGAGGTGACTGTGGTTCTGTTTGTATTTCTCAATAGTGACTAGAGATGCTGAGCATCCTCTCAAGATCCATTACCTATAATAAAGTTGGATTATATGTTGGTTGTTTTAGTTGGAATGGTTCTTTCTCTGGAATTAACCCCTCACCTGCCAGGAGTGGCAGCGGTTTTGTCTACCCTGGGAGTTGCCTTTTCTCTGATTGTTTGCTTTGATGGGCAGAAGCCAAAGCCTGATGGGGTCCCATCTCTTGTCTTACATCCCGTCAGCCAAGCATTACCAGCTCCAGTTCTCTTCTTCTCGTAGTTTTATAATCAACATTTCTGTTTTGTTCTGTTTGGATGGTAGGGCTGGGGATTGAAGCCAGGCCACTGCATATGCTAGCCACGCACTTCTATCATGGAGCTACATCCCAGTCTTCAAAACACATTTAAACAAAACGAAACAAACAAAAAAACCAGTCCCATAAACAGTTAGGATTTAGGCATATCTTCATCGATCAGTTTATAGGAATGGATTTGCTATTAGTTCTTTTCTGTTGCTGTGATACAATACTATGGAAGAAGCAACTTCAGGAAAACTCATCTGCTTGGTTTGTGGATTCGGGAGGATGGAGTCCGGCACGGCAGGGGAGACACGGCAGTGTTCGGGAAAGGAAGGAGGCAGGAGCAGGAAGCTGGCTGATCACATGTCCTGAACACACAGGCAGCAGAGAGGAAGGGCAGGAAGTGGAATCAACATCTGCCACACTTCCAGCAAGGCTCCAACAGCTATCACAACCTCTGCAAACAGCTCCACCACCTGGAGACCGTTCAAACACCTAGGCCTCTGGGGACATTTTTCATTTCAACATCACAGATGTGGTCTTATTTGAAACAGTCAGGTTCAAAAGAAAAGAATTTTGAAGAGAGTTCAAAAGACCGTTCAAAGGGCAGTTCAGAGTCTGAGGATGAAGACAACAGCGTTGTCCACGAATTCAGCTTCCTAATTCAGAAAGTAGGAAATAAAAGACAAGTTTTGGACGGTTTGAGAAGGTAAAAAAGAAAAAAAAGGGGAAAGAAACAGTGAATCAAGAAAGACATACCTCCTAATTCTGTGAAAAGACTGTGGCTCATTTCCTAGTCTGCATCCAAGTACCAACAGTGCCTTTCTGTGTTAACTTGTTACTCTATTTGAGCAAAGAAGGCCTCATGAATCTGGTGTCACCAAACAGGACATACTCAGAGAGCCTGATTCTGCAGTGAGAGCCTTGTACTTTTATACCTGCAGAGGGAAATACTGATGTAACTTAACATGCTCCACTAGGCGTTTGTCTTCTAAGGACTTGCTCTGCCCAGCTTTGTGGCCTGTGACTGGATGAAACTCAGCTAGCTGTTTGTGGAAACCTGCCACCAAAATACACTCTGACATTAGGTTCCAGCTTGTGTGTGTACAGAGTCAGAGTTCAGACACAACCTCAGGACAACACCCTCTTCCCTATTTAATACTTTAGAAAAGGATTTTATTTTTCATTACGTATGTGTCGATGTGCAGGAATATGCACATGAATACAGGTGTCCATAGAGGCCAGAGGAGGAAGGGCATTGGATCTGTGGGGGCTGCAACTCCAGGCAGCTATGAGCTGCACATGGGGTGCTGTGACCCAAACTTGGGTCTTCTTCGAGTGTAGTAAGTGTTCTTAACTGCTAAGCCATCTCTAGCCCCTGCCTAGAGAAACCAGTTAGTTTTTGAAGACTAGAGATTTCCCAAGGGTAGACTAATCTTTGTTCTAAAGCTGAACAGTGAACAAAGGTTAACTTTGTGGCTAGATGAATGTAAAGTGCCTAGAAGACATAAAAATCCTTGTGCTCAAAATTCAGTGGTGCAGACAGCCTAACAATGACCCAATGAACTCCAATAAATATATAAGTATCAATACAAAAATGTCATAAATATATATATAAAAAAAACAAAGCCAACAATTATTCCACCAAATACGTAATTTTAAGAGCCCATAGAGGGTGGGTGTGGTGGTGCATGCCTTTAATCTCTGCTGTCAGGAGGCAGAGGCCGGTGCATCTCCGAGTCCCAGACCAGTGAGGGCTACCTAGTGAGAATCTGTCACCAAACCAAATCAAACCAAACCACACCACATAATACACTCTCCCCTCAATTCACTGCCTGTCTTCCTTATTTTCATTGGCCTCTCGACCAGTCCTGTGTTTTGTTTGTAATTTTAGTAGTACCTTTTAAAAATGCACTTTCTTCTCCGTTTCCAGTACGCTGCAGAATTGCTTCCCCGAGCCCCGCTCTGCTCTCCTTAGCTGAAGAAGGTTCTCGTGCCTCGTGTGCGTCCTTCAAGGCTCATGCTTTGCTTCTGTCTTTCAACGATGCTTCTCTTTAAGATCTATCTTGAATTACAGTTTCAACTTGGAATTCTTCACTGGGGATAAGCTGCTGTAGCTCCGAGCTCCAGTTTCTGACTGTTGACCTCACATTCGGTACTTAAAGCACATGTGTCCTTGAACGTTTCTCCATCATCATAAAATGGTGGAGTCCAAAGAGAACTTGCAGAAAGCTATTCCTTTCTGTGACCTATTTATTCAGCCATCTGTTCAGAGAGCAAGCATTTGTTGGATGTGTGGAATGTGCCAGAACCTCGGTGCCAAGGAGCATGACAGTTCGTGTTTTGGAATATTTTCATCTTGGCAGGAAAAATACCTGTAAACTGGTCCATAAATACAAATAGGCAAGATGTGGACAGCATTATACACCATCACTGGACTCAGGGAAGGGTACCTCTGGGGAGCCAAAGGCGTGTGTTTCTGTTTGTTTTTGATGCTGAACACAGCAAAATGATTCAAGTTACATCTGCTTCTGCTGGAGACGTTAGCATTGTTGCCGGGCCTGTGAAGGTCACTACGTGATTTCAGCTGAACTCAGGGAATTATGGGCAGGTATCTCACTTGTAATCAGAGTTGGAACATTAGGGTAGATGCATCTAAAGCCCCCCACAGCAGCATCTCCACAAAGGGAGCGGTGGAGGCCGTGGAAGCAGCAAAGTGAAGAGGCTGAAAAGCAAAGTCCCAACCCGGATGTAGCTGGGGGTGTCAGGGGTCTTCATTTTCTCATGGTTCAGTTACATGGATTCTGGGGAGCAGGGGCTGTTTCAGGGGTCCTCATTTCCCTCATGGTTCAGTTATGTGGATTTGGGGAGCAGGGTCTGTTTCAGGGGTCCTCATTTCCCTCATGGTTCAGTTATGTGGATATGGGGAGCCAGGATTGGGCTTCGGGGGTCTTTTTCCTCTTCATTGTTCAGTTAAGCGCATTCACAAACACACGAGTCCAAGGCAAATTAGGACAGTGAGCTGCGGTTTACTAAGCATAATCACAAAGGCTTTTAACCTTCATAGATTACACACTCTAGAATCAGGCAGACTGATGTGGAAACCGGTTCGGCCCCATATCATGGCCTTGAAAGAGTCTCGAATCTTTCCATGCCCCAGTCTCCTCAGCTACGAAAACGGACCTGCCATTCCTCCTTCTCCATAGGGTGGCTGCAAGGACTCAGTCAGTTACTATAGACAGAACACATGGGAGACAGCGGGGACTTGACACGTGCTAAAAAACAAACCATCATTAGTGTCTCTACACTTTACTACACATTCAACCTAAACTGCATGTGTTTGCATTACAGACACAGCAACTGCATCGAACTTGGTGTGTCCTTTCCTGAGAACCACGGTTGCTTTCACAAGCGGCCTTTTCAACTTATAACAATGGAAACTGGTGGGTTGACAGGGTGACGCTGTGGGCAAAGCACTTGGCAATCACCTGGTGACCCGAATTAAATCTCTAGGCCCCACGTGGTGCAAAGAGAAAAGCAACGCTCACAAGTTGCCCTCTGACCTCCACGTGTGTGCTGGGGCACGTGTGCTCCCCACGTGCAATTAATAACATGTACGAGAATGGATAAAAACTGGAATTCACTGATCTGCTGGTTGAGTTCTTTATTTAGAAGCTCTTCATCTTCCTGACTCGATATTTACATCCACAGCTGTGAGATGACTCCCGGTCAGTCCCAGCAGAGGTGGCTGCTACGCTAGGATCTTCGTATTCATCTCGTTCTTACTGCGTACAAACAGCACCTGTGATGCAGTGTGGTCACTCAATGGCCAACGCCTATTCTTGCTTCACAAAAATTGACACTAAGGAAAGGACTTTGAACAGACTTTCTCATACTGTTAATACATTTATTTAGCTATGCTCACTTTCCTGAACTGTCATCCTGGGGCTCCGAGTCTCCCCAGACATCTCTTTAAAGAAGCTTGCCAAAAATCTCCCTCAAAAAAGTTCCTTTTGAATTCCATGACCCCGATGAAGGTGAAGATAAAGTCATCTTATGATTTGCTACCAAAGGGAAAGAGGGAGCCAAGAGGAAGAGGGACAGGAATGACAAGGGCCCCCCGAGAGTAAGTCACTTCTGTGTTTTTGTTCCGGCTCCACTACCTTGAACACACTCCTTGATATCTGGCAAATAAATACACAGTCTAGTTGAGGTGATAATAAAAACAACAGCAGCTAGCAAGGCACAGATGCTGAGGAATTAGAACAGATGTTAGCTGTAAACAACTGGAAGAGTGTGTCTCCGGTGAAAATTGGTCTGCGCTCGCCCACGGTGTCCAGTGTTGGAAGCGTTCTTCCTAGTGCTGTTTTCAGGGTGGAAATTGTAATGTGAAAATGCTGTATGACAGAGACATTTTCCCAATAACTGTTACTTGTTTTGAATGCAAGAACTACAGAGGAATTTGTATAACTGGGCCTTTCAGCCACAGATTGCTCTCCTTCTATTCTTCAAATGGGTTCTGTAAGACACTTCTAAAGATTGGCAAGGCTCTCAGCTGCTCCGAGCGCTGATAGGCTCTTCACAGCACACACAATTTTGTTTGGAGATTGTCAACAACAGGCTGTTCCTATTAGCCTAGAAGCAAGCAAGCAATATAAAATACCAGAAGAAGAAAACTGCAAAATACGTCTTCCTGCTCATCCAACAGACTTTTTCCCATCAAAAGAATTTTAGAGCCAGAATGAAGTCAGCACCAACATCCAGAATTCTTTGTTTTGCTCACGCCTGAGGTTACCTTTATGAAGATAGTAAGTCATGAAGCTAGCCCACCTGGTATCTGACAACTAGAAACAGCAGCGTTCCTTATGACATGCTGGTACAGCTGTATCCAGCATAGGCCAAGGACCTAACACATGGTTTTCCAAGTTACAGTCCACATTCTTTCTCAGAGCATCTCCAGCACCCTCCACTCAATGTAAAAATCCTGAAAGTCCTCTCCAGATAACACACCGGGGACAGTTCTCATCATTTTAATAACTAGGAGGAGGCACAATGTGCCTCCTACGACAGACACCTAAAAGTCTATAGCCTCGCTTTCCCAGCTTCCCTTGCCAGCCAGGCTGTGGGATACGACCTCACTAATTAGGTCACAGTGCCCTAAGTTCCAAATCCAGAGAAAATGGCAGAAAGTTCTAGGGATGCTAAGGAATTCTTCAAAGGACTGGTTTTACAAGCCATTTTCCTGGAATGACAGTGTGAGCAAGCCTAGTCCTCAGCATCATTGATGTAAGAGACAGAAAGAGTGTCCTCGTGTTAGTTATGGGGGGGCGGGGAGCAGGGGTTGGAATGGTTGAGGTCTGTGGCCTCCACTATTCCTGTACGCTTTTCCAAACTTGTTTCTTCAGCCTCCCTAGCAGATTGCTGAACTACCCATTGCCTTCTTAAAATTTTTATGTTTTGTTTTAATTATCTAGAGACTGTTTTTGTTGCTTAGAACAAAACCCAACCAAAAGAACCTATAATTCCCAAGCCTTCCCAGACCACAGTATCATGTTACTTCCACAAACTCTAAGTACAATGGAGTCTAGCACTTTGTGAATACCCAGGTTTATGGTTTATGATTATCTTTTTTGCTTAAACCATGCCCATCAGGGATAGTACTGCTCCAACTGTGACCCTTCCCCAGCAGCCCATCCTGAACTTCCTGAATCGGAAACTCCATCAGGGGCCCCGAGAGAACAGCATGTTAACACCCGTGAAAGCTTGGACTCTGTCCAATGCTACCAAGGTTCCACTTATAGCTCTCACTACTGGTTACTGTGTAAGAGTGAAGAAGGCTGGCTGGCCATGAGCAGCAGAGAACCAAGCAAGCAGGCACATGGGTACATTCCTCTCTCTCTGTTCTTCATTGCAGGTAAGAAGTAATGAGCTGCCTGAGTTCCTGCCTTGACTTCTTCCAAATAGTGGACTGTGACTTGGAATTGCAAGCCAAATAAAGCCTTTCTTCCCTAAGTTGTTTTCTGTCTAGATATTTTACCACGGAACTGGAACAAAATTCAGCAGCTCAGAAAGATTGACATCTCTTACGTGGACTTATCTCTGAAACCTGCTTCAGACTCTCGAGCAGTGCTTTTGTATGGGGATGTTTAGATCTGGGGGAGGGGATTACTGGTTGTCACAATTACAGTGAGTGTCCATGAGATTTAATCGGAAGAGGCCATGGGTGCTCAGGATTCTGCAGTGTGATGGACAGTCCTACAAAACAGTAACTTTTCCACATCCCACACAACCATCAAACAGCAGCGTGAGAAACTGTTTATAATCACATCCGCCTTTGGTTTTGCATGTCCATAGAGTGCTTCTGGAAAGGCATTACTATACGCTGAGTTTTTCAGGAATGTAACTACTGTCCTAATTAAGTTGCGCTTTTGCCTTAGAACTTTAAAGTCATTTGCACCTCGGAAAAAATCCCTTCACTGATGCCATCACCACTCAGTGTACCTGAGCTGTCAAAAATCCGTCAGCTGTCAGTCTGCATTTGTGGCTGTCGCTTTTGTGGAGCCACAGTTAGCATCAAGAACAAGAACGTGACACGTCCATTAGGAGGCCAAAAGTCCTGGTGGTGGCTGAGTATTTCCACATCAAAATACCTACAGATCATTATGCATTACCTTCCATTTATATTGTTAGGGCACTCTGTTGAATTTGAAAAAAAAACATTATGCATAAAGTTGGAGTAAGTACTCTATGAAGTTTATGTCAGGATATCATGTTAAAAGTATGGTGTTATTAAAAGGAAAGTGTTGGTTATATAAAAGTAAGAATTATGATTTTAGAGCAGAGAGAAGCATGATGGTATTTTTCCTGATGATTTCCCAGTGCAGAGGAAGTTAATATAGGGCAAGTGTCCCCTGTGTTTTATAGGCCCTGCTACTGTAAAAATGAAAGACGAGAAAGGAGACACGGGCGGGTGTTAGAAAGGAAGGTAGGACACATCCTCACACTCTGGTTGCCAGATTCTCCCGGGGACTACTGGGTTTGTTTCAGTCAGCTTCCTGTTTCTTTCTCCTGTCAGGGGTAGCACCGTTTACTCTGATCAAGACACTGGTTTTATATTTCAGACGGCTACAGTTGAGTCTTTTCCTGCCCTGACAGCAATGTTTTTCTAGTTGAAGGTCCTGATTGCCGAAGTGTCACAGCTCTCACGCTCTGCTGCCCGAGTGACACACGCTTATGAGGTCACCCACTCCCTGGCCTCTTCTCAGGCATAAAGAACCAGACAGACATCGTTGACTAACTGCCATACCTGAGCAGAGCAAGCCGGCTCCTGGAGCACAGGAAAGTTTTGACAGTTAAAGGCGACCTATTCCGTTCCAGTAAGTTTTTTCTGGGACCCTGAGAAAGTCACTTAACTTCGCCATGAATTAGTGCCCCCAAGCAGAAAGGAAGATTACAAGACACTCTCTCTTTCTTGTCTTTGCTCTGGTAGCAGCCCACTCCCACCAGAACTGTGTTTTCCCATTGCTTACTGCCTCGGGGCGCTCAGCAAAGCTAAGCGGATCAGTTAAGCAGCTGGAGATCTCAGAGGAGAGATGCTTCATTCGATGTGGCTCTTTATTGACCAGGGCTGACAGACTAGAGGCCAAGGAAAGCTGTTGTTTAACATCTGTTTCGAAAGGGGCAAATCTCTAACAGCTGCCCAGGGGCTCCGTCATTTTTTGATTTTGCTCAAGGTCAAAATGGATTTCATGTTTAAGAACAAGGTTTCTGCTCTGGTAGGATTTGCCAGCTCCCTAACCTGGGCACTCTGGCGTCTCTGTGGATGTCCTCACTTCCTGTGGACGACGACACAGAAACAAGAGCAAGACAAATGCCAGGCACTCGACAGCATCGGGGCTTGTACGCGGCTCCCATGTTTCTATCCCACCCTGAATCCACCCCCCCACCCCACCCCACCCCTGCTCTCTTGCTCAAGTTGTTCTCAGAACCACTTGTGGGAGACAGTAACCTAGATGCCACTCTTGGCCGTGTCTACACTGGAGGTCGCATTCATTCTTCTTCACGCACGAACTCTAAGGATTTGGATTTTCCAGAGGGAAGACAGGAACATTCTACTGAGTTTGACATCTTCTCCTTTGACATGACTGATAGGACCAGAGGGACCAATCCATGGAGTAAGCTGAGCCAACTAGACTCTACTCTGAGAATTGAAGGGAAGTGGACAGTCCAGTGTAATCATTTTTAAAAAGTGGGTAGAAATACTTGGACATCCCTCCTTCAAGGAGCTGCCACCCCTGTTCCCTCTCCTCGACTCCAGGCAGGATGGTGACGTTTGTAACAGCGACACTGGTCAGAAGGCCCCTCCGTCCAGGTCTGAACACGTCATGTGATTTTCAGCTGCTGGGAGTGACATGCCCTGGTGACTCCTCTTAGGACAGAGTTTCTCGAAACACTGTTTTCCCATTCAAAACATCTATCTTTTGGTTCCTGTGCTCACCGGCCCATGGGCAGGCAGCTCTGGCTAAGAGACCCTGTGGTGTCCGATCTGTTTCAGCATTCTAGCCACGGTGCTAGAAATAAGCAAAGTCTTCCCAGATGAGGCCTGGGAAAGATAAACAAAACTTTCCACTTGCCTTGACCCACAGAATCCACATGCATGAGAAAACGACTACACCCAGAAATCTGGAGTGGCTTAAGCCAGGGCAGTAACTGAAACAAACATCAAATCACATAAACGGCAGACTGAAGACCCCTTCAGTTTTATATCTTTCCAGAGATGATCTGATTACATTCTTCTCAAGTTCAGTTCTTCCTTGAATCCTAAATACTCAGCTCTTCTAAAACACTCTGGAGACAATTTGATAGATTTCTTCCCTCTAACCAAGTATACTGTAAGAGACCATCCATCACATGACTCTAGACAAGGGTGCTATTTCCTATTGCAACCAAACCTGCCAGCTCTTAAGTTGCCTAAGGGATGCCAGGGCAGTGGTGTGAAATCGGTCCTCTACCAGACCTCAGTGCCTCAGTCCTATACCAGAAACGACAATGGGAGAACCTCACAAAGCCAGCTATTAACAGAGATACATTAACTTCTTTGAAATTCTTACCCAAATCTCTTTCCACGGGGGCTCAGATTTATCCTAGGAATTATGTGTGGGGAACAAATGATATATATAGTTGCAAGGACAAGATTATACAAAGTGACACTGAGGGTTCATGATGACCATGGGGACAATGGACTACTGGGGATTAAGGATTCTCCCAGGGGCAGAGCTTGACTCAGACAACTGTAGGTGGCCTTGTCGGAGGGGCAGCAGGTGGCAACTGAAGTTCACGGTGTCAGCCCATCAAAAGGAAACTCTCTGATGGGTCAATCTCAGTTAGGCAAGGCCATGAGACCACAGACCCTGGAGTGTCTTTTGCTTCTGCTGTGCCTTTACATATTAGCTGCTGCCATCTTTCTCTGGTATCTGGTGTAGTGTGAATGGATGTGGGGAGATCCCCACTGCCTGTAATGTAGTGTGTTTATCTCATGGAAACATCCCATTCTACTGGGCATTTTTGCCTGTGGATTATTATGGAGATGATTTCTTCCTAAACTATACTGTCTAATTGATAACAATAATGTTAGTTTTAATAGAGTTTTGATGATTAAAAATACATACAAGGAATTGTCACACAGTTAGGGCCTATGAGTTTCACCTAAAGAGCTGCATAATCGCAATTCTTGTTAATGATTAAGGAAAACAATTGAGTCCCCAGGAGCCAGGCTGGTTTGAATTCTTTTAATCTTAATGTTGGGAGATGTGTTCATAGGTTTCAGAGTACATCACAGATGAAACAAAGCCTTAGAATGATCTCAGGTTAGATTAAGACATTTTGATAATAGCTTTGAGGTTGGGAATCAAAAAAAAAAAAAGCAGCCCAATTATTGCTAACTGACATAATTTTCTTACGAGGATTGGTTGGAGATCAAAGATGATTAATTCCTTATACCCATTTCTGCCCTAAATCTCCTGATATAAAAATACTGATGAGTGGGTATGTACTCTAAAGAGTTCAAGTAGCACTGACTGATTGTTTTTCATATATAAAAGTTTAGATTTGTGATTCCTTTAAGATTCCTTATAAGATTACCTTTCAAGATAAATAATCCTTTCTTTGTAATCACAAAATGCAGCCTGCCAGAAAAAGAACTATCTGAGGAAAATATCCTGCTTGCTTACACTCTGTTAATTTATAACATGTTACTTAGATGTAAATATATGTGGGTTCTTGGGATGACTTTGTTTTAATCATGTAAGGGAGATGAAAAACATTTCACTTGTATTCATTATAATCATCCAATTGAAAAATAGAATGTAACCACGTTGTAATTCCTATATTTCCTGAAAGATTTTGTTGGGATATATAAGCTGTAGAGGAAAAATAAAGAGGGAGAATACAGAAGAAGAAGGAGAAGGAGGAGGTGGAGGAGAAGAAGTAGGAGGAGGAGGAGGAGGAGGAGGAGGAGGAGGAGGAGAAGGAGGAGGAAACCATCAAGCGTGTGTGTGAGCGTTTTTTCCCTTACCCCTCAAATAAAAAAGTTGCAGTACTTTTCCCTTTGAGCCCTGTGCTGCTGGAGGCTGGTCCCCAGGCAACAAAAGACCACATTCTCTGAACTTGCCTGCTCAGAAGCTACAACTTCTCAAGGCCCAAGATCTCTAGGGGCCAGAAAGCCAGCTTTCACAGCTAATGATGGGCAGTTTCCGTCCTGAAATCCTTGCCTTCTGTAGAGGAAAATGAAGTGGGTTTTATGAAGGCCTGCTTCCCTGCAGAACAGAGACACCACGGTGTGATTGATGGAGTGTTCTGGCCACAGACACACCTCCCTGCGGGGAGTAAACCCGGCCTTGGGAAGAAGACTCCCTTCTCTAACAAAGCTGCACATTGTCTATCTCACGTGGAGGAACTTCCCCTACACTTCGCAATACTCCAGGCTCGACTGCACTTGGAGCTTTCCCATTCCC